AAGCGTTGGGGACCGGAACTACTTAACCAATTGACTTCTGGAAGATTGAAGTCCCCTGCAATTATTTTGTAATTAGTACTGAACGATGAGGCGTGTGCGAATGATTTAGCTAATAACGCATCAGTTTCTTTGGTTGAGCTTGGTGCTCGATAGACACAGCCTATGAGAAGCTTGTACTTATCTCCTTGTAAGACGACCCAGAGTGAATCAGGTACCTGGTTCAATATTTCATCTTGCACTTTACTGGCTACGAATGAGTTATGTATATATATGAGACATCCTCCACCACGCTTGCAGTCTCTATTTGCACGGTGTACAGTGTAATCATCTATGCCTATATGCACATCAAGCACAGAGTATGAGCACCATGATTCAGTAATCAGAGCTACAGTAGGCTTGGCGATAAATAATAATGCCCTTAGTTCAGATATCTTATTGATTAAGGAGCGTGCATTAATTAGCAATATCGTGAATAAGTCACGGGATACTACAAACTGGCTTAGGATATCACCATAACCTAACTCTGTTTGTGCGTCAACAACGCAAGAGTTTATGAATGATACGGGGGTCGGACTGGGTGTCTGTACGTCGGTTAGTTACCGTCGCCTGAGGGGGGATTTAATTACTGCCTACAAAATAACAAACGATCAGAATCACCCAAACAAAGGTGTTCTGCCATTGAGTAGGTATAGGCTTCCTCGTGGGAATCCTAGAAGGATAGCTCATCAGAGGGCAAGGACCCGAGTGCGCTCCCACTTCTTTTCCCTGCGGGTTTGCCGTCCCTGGAATTCCTTACCGGCAGATGTAGCTATGGCACCATCTGTGGACGCCTTTAAGCGAAGGCTGGACGACCATGCAGCGACACAAGGACTGCATTCAAATGACTTATCCCCTTAAAATCGCATATACCATTCAAAGGTAGACAATTAAACTGGTCGTTTTACTTCATTACATTCTCTTCAGTCTTACTCTCCTGACAGCTTTGACTACACCAATTATTATCATTATTACCGATATATATGTATATTATTCATACTATTCTTCAAATTTAATCCGCTGACTGTTTTTACGTTTTCTTATTTCTTTTTCTGTCTGTTAGTCTGAATAACTTCACTAATTATACTTATTATTATTGTCTCTTTTCTTTTGACGACGATATCGGAGGACTTACTGGTGAAAGGATCAACTCCATTCACTGTAGTAACAGTCTTAATACATCTCATACTACAAACCACATATAATTAATCCCTGCACTACTCCTTTTGGAGTCAACCAAAGCTACGACAGTCGAGTGGCGGGACGAGCTACGCAGAAGTTTACCGAAGATTAGGAACCTATACCTCACAATCAAGAGGCGAGCACAAAGAAATCAAATTGGTTTATACTAGCTCGTAAAAACGATTATGGATATTGGAAGGAAAACTGGGCTTTCGTGGAATCAATGCTAAGATCCTCTGAATGGGGTGAATACTTCACTAATGATGACCTCTCGAGAGCTCTGAGCATCTTCGACCAGAACTCAAACACATGCTTAGGTGCTGTCATTCCACTCCAAACACCAAAAGTCTCCCTACTTAAAAAGCCACTTAAAAATCCAAAGGATCGTACGGAAGTGAAGAAACTCTTGTGTGTGTGAATTATCCAACAAAACATTTACAGCTCACTGCCTTAAGCCCACAGTCCCATTACTGGGTACGCACCCTACCACTAATATGGCACAACTTCCATCTCTACCCATACCAAAACAAATTAGTGTCGTCGAATTCACTTATGCTAACATTATCCAAACTATTAGAACTCTCAAAAGCTCGAAAAGTTTTGGCACTGACGGTATATCATTGTGTTTCTATAAATATGGTGGTCCTAACATCCCCATATTACTGCTTAAAATCTTTACGATGTCCTGAGAAACCCAAACTTACCCGGACATACAGAAAAAGAAATTTATGACACCTAAATACAAATGTATCTGGAAAACAGAAGCCAACAACTACAGGCCCGACCAACATCACACCCATAGCATCTAGAATTATGGAGAGACTAGTTAAAGATATCCTAATCAAACATTTGCTTAGCTGCAGCATTATCAGTCCGAACCAACATGGATTCCTAAAATCCATATCATGTTTAACATGCCACTTAGACTTCTTTAATTTTGTAACCAGCAGTCGTGACAGACGACAACTTGTACTTGTCATCTACTTTGACATCTCTTAGGCATTTGACCGTGTCTACCATTCTCTGCTAATACAGAAGCTGAACTCTTTAGGAATACGTGACCCACTATTGGGGTGGCTTAAATCATTCCTTAACAACAGGTCTCAAATAGGTAAGATCGAGTCTGAGACTCCCAAACATAGACTAATCACTTCTGGTTTAGTTCAAGGTGGCGTCATTGGGCCCCTTCCATTTACACTGTATATCAAAGACGTATGCGCTTGCTTCTCACATGGGAAACCATTCATCTTCTCAGATGACCTAAAAGTAGTTTACACATTCATGTGTGATGACCTGGGGTATCTCCAGAATGCTGTGCAGAGTGAATTAGATAAAGAGACTGCTTGGTCATCCTTGTGGAATCTACAATTCTGTCCGAACTAATGTGGTCGGATCTGCTTTGGCGCACCCTCAATCGACATAAAATTAACTCTTCAATCTGCTAACCTAACCAGACTCCGAAAAGTCGCTGACTTAGGCCTGGGGTTTCCTAGTGAATTAACATTTTCTGAGCGGGTGGCACCACAGACTCGAAAGTCGACGATGTCTTTGAGATGCACACTCAGGAACTTTCATGATAATGAAGCCAGGCTTATTCTATACAAAATATGTGTAAGGCCACTACTAGAATACTGTCCACTTATTATTAGCAGCACTCACATATGTGACAAGCTGAGCATGGAAAGTATCCAACGATATTTCACCTCCAAACTACATCTCACAGTGCATGATTCCAAAGCTTGACTCACTTTGGGCAAGACGACACAATATGAACCTAATATTCTTCTTTAAGGTCCTACACAAAATACCATTCTCGGACAATTAGGACAAGCAATTCTCACCGAAAGGCTCTTACGATCTGCGTAACCAAACTTGCACAGTGACAATAAAAGTCTTTATATTAGTACTCCGTGAAAGCCTCTTTACATTCATGTATTCTAAAATATGGAACAGCCAGCCCCCAAGGCGTTAGAACCTGGATTCGGTTATAAGTTTCAAACGTTCTCCGTACAGACTGCATCACTGTATTGATCACATCAACAAACTATTTATTTCTATAACGAATCAGTTATTAGTTTACTACATTACCTGAAAAACGCGCAAAATTTCTCTAATTACTCCATAAACAATACCCGACCGAAAGCTGCCACCTTGACGTGGTGGTCGGGCTTGCATATCGTAATGACGCAACGAGCTGCACTGGCTGAAACTTATGTTCCTGTAGGTCCTACCATGCCAGAAAGGTAGTTTGGACAGCGGTTAGACAAAAAGCAGCTACCCAATCCAATAATATAATTCAAACAAATTCACAAAATATCATGCCAGATCGCTCGGGGCCCGAATTAACAACGACCGCGCTTCCTGCTGCCGTGTCGCAGGGCAAAAGTGATAAATACGCTACTGAGACACACCAAATGAAAAAGAACAAACAAAAGCAGGCCGCGTGTGACCGGCCTCAAGCAGTTGTCCCCTGGGCTCTGCGGTCACGCAACCAACTTCCACGGTGTGGGCAGCCGGGAAGTACCAATCGCCCTCACAATCTGAAGTGCACGCGAAAACACTCTAAACATCACTCATCTTTGTCTTCATCTTCATCTCTTTTATCTTGCCTTCCTTCTACTAATGCAACTCCTCTACTTGATGACTCTTCACTTTCTCTTCACTCTATGTCCATCCAAAACGACGGAAGCCAAAAAAACATTACAGATAGCCTCATAAAGTCACGCCACCATTTTCATATAGGAGCGTTTAATGTTAGGATACTTTGCCAAATAGGACAACGAGCATCACTAGCCAAGACTCTGGCATCCCGAGCCATTGATGTATGTTGTGTTTCAGAAACACGCATACAAGACCCAAGTGCGGTTGTTCACCTAACCCCACCTGGCCAACAGGACGAATCTGGAAAATTCACCTTGAGGGTGTCAGGAGATGCCACAGCTAGCTCACGAGGATTAGCTGGTGTTGGGATAGCTTTGAGTACTAGGGCAGAAAAGACATTACTTGACTGGATCCCGGTAGATAGCCGAATGTGTGCTGTCCGTCTGAACGGATAAGTGAAAAGGAGAAAGGACTGCAATACTCGCCGATGCCTTTTCGTAATCTCTGCCTACGCCCCCACTGAGTGTCTAATGACAGAAGGCAAGAGTCAGGCAACAGATCATTTATTAAGGAAATCAACGCATATTTATATATTTTCATGTACATTACTATGGATATTTCAGCAAACAAACACAGTCTTCCGATTGGTTGTTTCTCACGTAAAGTTAATCTTTCATCTAAGGGTACACTAAGGGTACAATAGCTATTGAACAATATAAAACAGCCACCAGGCAAAAGTTTTACTTGATTAGGTATGCACAGATATGGAATAAACTGCCAATGGAAATGCGTCAAGCAAGTACATTGGCCTCCTTCAAAAAGGTGCTTAATGACAAACTACAAGAGTTTGCAAACGATAGTAGTTCTAGTTCCTATCTGAGAGCCTCCGAAATTATCAGTCCATTTAATGTATAAGCTTAAATACTACACTTGTTGTTTTTTATTGACGAAATCATCTTCGAAGGATGTACAATCGTATTTACATCTACCAAGAACGTAGTCTATCACTGAGTAGCGCGGGAGTCGGGGTGATATAACTGGTACAAACATAAATTAAGAAGTGATTACTACAGAAATTACGCAATAGCCAACGGCACAATGCACGTCACGGCTTGAAATTTGACAAGGTGAAAACTGTTGCTCAGTGAAAAGTAAGGTAGTTGGTTGTCCATTTTACAAGCGCTAAGAGAGTGAGAAAAAAATCAGGAAATTATGCAAAAGGAACATGTGATAGTGACTAGTTTGAAGCGAACAAGTAGTGAGGGGATTAAGACCATGGTAGAAAAAGAGGCCAAACAAAACCCTCTCTGCACACACACAGTTCGAAGTTGTATAACGAATCGCTAGCGCCTCCGCGGTTTATCTAGGAAATGTTGGCTAAACTGTAAACTTGAAACATCTAAGTTGGAACACTGACTGATGTTGTCACGAAGTGGAGTTAGTCACAGTCACCATCGGACCACATTATTTCGTACTCCTTATTAGGCACACCTACAACAGACCCCAATCGTCTCACTTTGTAATGCGTGCGAAAAATGCCAATAACATCTCGTTCCATTGTCAATATCACTCTTTGTTTGGCCTTTTTGGTTTCGGTTCAACCAGCACAAATGTACATATGTATGAACCCTTTCGAAAGTCAGCTGATGGTTCTAGTACTCCTGCGTCTCATGGCATATGTTGAACCTACTCTCAGCCAACTTACAAACAATGAATGTGTTGCTCACTTCTTACAGTCAATGCATCGACCAACTCCAATAATATTCATCAATAAGATTATTATTAATCGGGCAATGAGATTGTGTAGTGTAGAATCTGATGACGATTCGCTACCAAGGGGCTAAATATTGTATTCACGGTACTCCGACTGTTTTACTTTCATTCTTACGTAAACCCTATCACCAACTACAAGTTTCCCATTCGTTGTATTAAATCGACAAAATCCCATTGTTCGCATAATCTCCGCCTCCTCCTCTGTCTCCGGTTCTGCTGGTCTTTCTTCCACATACACCACCGCCTCTGTCTCCCTCTCACTTGAACGACTCCTAGGACGTGAACAACGCCTCCACCTTTCTTCGCTCTGATTCAGTCCATGTCTTCTCCGACCATATCGATCTCTCTCCTCTCCATCGTCTTCATGCCGATCTCCATACACATCTCTTCCGCAGTAATCAGGATAGTAGTGGCCATCCCAATGTTCCCTTGAAAGCTCATATGTAACACTACGAGCTCCATATCCGTAGTGCAAACTTGAGCGGGGACGTCTCTCGTAGTCTCTTGGCATTTTTGCCTATATTTATAATTCTAGATAAAACATTAACGGTTAGGATACGTATCCTCAAACAGACAAGAAATCTCGTTTGTAAAACTACTACCCAACACAATAAGTGGAATAAAATGGACATAAACCGACAACATGAAAAAGGTATAACTCACCACAACATCACATGGACAGATGTAGGCTCGTTGGGCACCATATATCTCTCACCAACTGCAACCCATCTTTCCTTAGATAATGTGATGAACTTATATCCATAATGTTGCTGAGCAGTTAATATTCTCAACTCCTGTCGGAAAAGTTAAAATTCATAAACCTTCCTCATGCTAAGAAAATACACACAAGCAGTAGAAATCCATTAATTAATGCGTCTGAAGCTTATGTATTTACTCCCAACAATGACATAGCAGATCAAATGAGATAAACATATCACTGATTTCTAAATAACACATCAATGAACTATAATTCAAGGATTCTGCACACAACAAAGTTATTTTGGTGTGGTTGTGTTCTCTGAGCTGGATGGTTTACTTGCGAAGCTTTCATTGCTCTACTGAGCAACATCTTCAGCGCATACTTCGATGTGAAGTGAGCTTTTAGAATTCTCGATGAGTTTATTAGTCATCTCTTCTAGTAACCCTGAACGTGATTGATTGTTTTCGTGTGAAATTTCACCCCCTAGTTTGCTTGTCTCGGTGCTGGCTGCTTCTTTGGTTTGAATGTCGTTAGTCATTCCCTCTGCTAACAACCAATCACGTTCAAGGTTAGCAGAAGGAATGACTAACGACATTCAAACCAAAGAAGCAGCCAGCACCGAGACAAGCAAACTAGGGGGTGAAATTTCACACGAAAACAATCAATCACGTTCAGGGTTACTAGAAGAGATGACTAATAAACTCATCGAGAATTCTAAAAGCTCACTTCACATCGAAGTATGCGCTGAAGATGTTGCTCAGTAGAGCAATGAAAGCTTCGCAAGTAAACCATCCAGCTCAGAGAACACAACCACACCAAAATCATCCACCTGAGCTACAAATCTTCTCTATTATATCTACAACAAAGTTATGTATGAAAATTGACTTCAAGCTTTATTTTTTTGCCAGGCACTTATAATCCATCCACCAAAGACCTGGTTATTTGTTAATGCGAAGACAATACTTCTGTATTTCCTGATGTGTTGCACTCACTGACAATCTAGCAGATTTTTCCAACTTTGCACAGAAATGATTGTATATAAGTGAAAAGGCTGTTTTATACTACTGGGATTAACATTTATCAAGTGTATGTATTATCTCCAGAGGACATGTAAAGCATATCTTGTTGCAGCGTGTAAATTTTGATTGAATTATATGGTTCTATTTCTGTAACAATTTGATGATGCCTGTAAACTGGTGTCCCTCATGTACTGTACTATGAGAATAAATTTATTTATTTATTCATGTGCGTAAAGAGGGAATATGTTATTGTAACACGCATTTTATTGTTTTATGAGGGGCTTGACTTCAAGCTTTATTTATTTTCCCAAGTATCTGTAATCCATCCAACGCATACTTGGGTTTTTTTGCTAATGCGAAGTCAATATCTCTATATTTCTTGGTGTGTTCCATTGAATCACCAGTTATCCGATTTTTCCCACAAACTGAAGATAAAATGACAGCAACCATGTTATTTAACCGTAAATCATGTAATTTACATATGTAACTTAAATAATACTTATCCATGGCTTTACAACTTGTGTGTCCTGCATTTGTAGGAATAATTATGTACCTTATTATATTAACATTAGTGACTATACTTACTATTCGTACGTGTAATTTATCGAATTGATGATGCCTGCAAACTGGCGTCCCTCATGTACAAAAATGAGAATATACTATTATTATTATCTATTTGTGACTTTCTTGAATGTCAAATCCTCTATATGTTAACTGCATCCACCTACGCAAAGTATGCTGTGGTCGGTTTTGAATCAATCTTTGTTCACATTTTCTCACGACAAATCTTGGGAACGTAAATATTGACGTCAATTACTGTCTACCAATTTGGCTAGTAGACAGCTCTCACCACAACTGCAGTTCGGATGAAACGAAGGATGAGTTCTACCAAAAGCTGTCTAGTTTGCTGCGAAGGGCTTAACGCTCAGATAGAGTCGTTCTAGCTGGTGAATTTAATGCTCAATTAGGGAAATTGTGTCAATCCGATAAAGGTTCGGTGGCACCTATGGCGTTCCGTGCCAGCAAACCAACAACGGTGACCGTCTCCTACAGTTCTGCTCAGATAATCATCTGTTTCTTGTAAGCACTAACTTCAAACGCAAGGAGAGACTGTTTGACCTGGCGACCGCCATCATCAAACCAACGCTGGACACAAATAGACCACATAGCAATAAGCTATCGTTGGTGTGGGTCGGTAGGAGATTGTCGCTCATTCTGGAACACGTGTGCAGATACCGATCACGCACTGGTCCGCGCTCGTGTGTGCTTACGACTGAACGGACGTAGGAAACAGCTAGCGGTAAACCCATCACGTCCCCAGCTCGATCAGAAAACTAAGTCCCTATTTGAGGAAGAACCAGCTAAACACATATCTGAGTTCGACAGCTGCGCTCATCCTGAAGAAGCCTGGAAAAATATTCAGTCGGCCATAGATACAGCTGTAAAAGCTGTGAATAAGACAAATCCAAAGGTGAGTAAAAACCATTGGATTTCGACTGCCTCATCCGAACTGATAGATGCTAGAAGACTTATTCCGGCGAGCTCCGAATTCAATGAAGAGCGAAAGCTGCACAAAAGGAAACTTACGAAAAGTCTCCGCAAGGACCGTGAGGAGTCGTGGATGTCAAAGGCGAAAGAAATGGAAAAAGCAACAAGCAACACTAGGAAACTCTTTAGACTCATCAGGGAAACGGGTTGGAGAAGGCAGATCATAAGTGAGACTATTTCTGAGAAAAGTGGCTCCTTAACTAGCTCTCAGGATAGACGCCTTGAACTCTGGAAAGAACACTTTGAGGAACAATTTAACTTGCCTACAACCACACTGAACCTCCCTGCCATCCAGCACACTGGTCTGCCGTCTGTAAGTGAGGTCACAAAAGCTATCTGTAATTTGAAACGAGGGAAAGCGGTAGGACCCGACGGAATTATTCCGGAGGTGTTTAAATATGGGAGTGACATACTAGTATATAGTGTAACCAGAGTACTAGGTAACGTCTGGGAATCAGAGACGGTTCCATCAGACTGGGGTAAGTCAATTATCATACCTATATTCAGGAAGGGAGACAAGTCCTTATGTGATAATTATAGGGGGATCAGCCTGACAAACATAGTTTCTAAAATCCTAGGTTCACTAATCATGCACAGACTGAGCAGAACTCGGGAGAAACAAACGAGGGAAAATCAAGCAGGCTTTAGGCCAGGTAGAGGGTGCATAGATCATTTCTTCACTCTCCGACAGATCCTAGAACATAGGCACACTTTTAGGCGTCCAACAATTGCCATATTTCTTGACTTGAAGGCGGCCTTCGACTCCGTGGATCGAAAGGCACTATGGCAATGTTTGACTGTGAAGAGAGTGCCAAGCAAGTACATTGCACTAATCAAGGCACTCTACTCAAACTCACGTAGCTGTGTAAGGGCCTATGGGGAATTGTCATCTGAATTGATAACAACCAGTGGTGTCCGTCAAGGATGTTCACTTTCCCCTTTTCTGTTTAACTTCATCATAGATATGCTAATGGAAGTATCCTTAACTGAACTTAACGACTTAGGAATCAACTTGTTACCAGGGAATAGTCTTATGGACTTAGAATACGCAGACGACATAGTCCTGTTAGGGGAGGACGCTGACAAAATGCAGAGTCTTCTGAACACCTTGAGCAGCAATCTTCGTATGTTTGGCATGCGATTCGCCCCTGTAAAATGTAAGATGCTGTCACAGGACTGGACTACGTCAACTCCTAGCTTAGTGATAGGGAGTGAAGTGATAGAACATGTTGACCACTTCACCTATTTGGGAAGTTGTATCAGCACCAATGGACTGATGGGTGACGAAATCTCAGCACGGATCCAAAAAGCTCGGGCTGCTTTCGCTAACTAACACCATCTCTAGCGTAGGCGTGACATCCGACAATAAACCAAGGGACGTGTACTGCTCAGCAGTTCGCTCCGTCCTCTATGGCTCTGAAACATGGCCAATACGAGTTGAAGACATGAAAAGGTTGACTGTTTTTGATCATAGATGTCTACGATCTCTTTCTCACGTTAGTTGGTGGTATAATAAGGTAAGTAATGTTGACGTTAGGTGTAGAGTGTTGGGCAAAGAGGGGAAATCAATCGACGAGAAGAGGCTATAAAGTTACATAGATTGAGATGGTTAGGTCACGTGATGCGCATGCATGCCTAACCATCGCCTCTCTCGACGGGCATTGCTAGCTGATATAGGTGCAGGTTGGAAAAGAGTAAGTGGTGGCTAAACAAAAACGTGGCCTCATCAATCCATGAAATCCTTGACAGCTAAACTGAGTCAGGTAGGGAGGGAGATGCAGACTTCCGGGTTGGGGCCCGCCCTCGGGACTCTAAGAATCAATGGCTGGAGACACTAGATGACATGGTTCAAAATCGTTGTCAGTGGCGCAGATGTATTCAGTCTCTGTAAACTTTCATATTCCTCTCTACCATTACTCATTCTGTTTCACTCTTATACTTGTCAAAACTCTATTGATTCTCTTCACTCATCTTCTTGTCTACCTTTGTGTGGTATTTGGAACGTGGCAACTCGAACTGGTGCACTTTGGTGCCAAGTTCTATGTTGAATTCAGACAGACAGACTGTAATCGATAAGTAGACTAGTGGCAAAGATGTATAAAAAGACTAAGTAGAAATATATATATATTTAAAAGACAGGAATGTACGACGAATATAAACATTTGTGTACAAACATTAATGTCCCATACGTGTCCACATACTTTTTATCTCCTCTCTGGTAGTTTGATGCTCACCTCTTCTCTTCT